AACCAACATTTTCCTTAAATTTTAGGTGGGAACCAGGACTATTCAAAGAATTTTGACTGGACAATATACAATCAAAAAACCTTTAGGCCGACCGAAAAAGACAGAGACTATTATGGACCGAATGTTTAAAGAAGATTTACAACGACAAGTTTGGAAATACAATTCTAAAAATGAATATTTTACACTACAAACATTACTGACATACGCAAAAGAAAATTTGGAATTTAAGGGAAGGCAAACAAGTTTATATAAAATTTTAAAATTTATGGGATATAAATTTGAAGCAGTAAATGGACGCAAAATTTTATGTGAGCAGAAACATGTTCTTGCTGCCAAAATTACATTACAAAAATATCAGATTCATGTATTTAGATGAAACTTGGATCTACCAAAACGGATCTCAAGTTCGTCGATGGATACACGAATCTGATATGAAAAGCAACCCATCCAAAATTAAGTCAGAGGGGAAACGTTTTACTATTTTGCATGCGGGGAGTAGTTTTGGGTTTTTAGATGGGTGCGATTTTTTTCTAGATTCAAGAAACAATGACGGAGACTACCACAATACCATGAACGCGGACATCTTCCAAAAATGGGTCGTTGACCAACTAATTCCTGCATTGAATATATTTGAAGAGAAATGTGTAATAATAATGGACAACGCTCCATATCATTTAGAGCAGAAGGATAAACCACCTTCATTCTCTTCAAAGAAAGACAAAATGCAGGAATGGTTGGTTAAACATAACATAGACTTCGACACAAAAATTACCAAAAAACAACTATGGGACCTAACTCAACCATTTCGGAATAGACCAAAACAATACAAAATTGACGAAATTTTGAAAAGCCACGGACACGAAGTTCTTAGATTACCTCCTTATCATTGCCAATATAATCCTATTGAAATGGCATGGGGGTAGGTTGCGAGGGTATGGCGTGAGTCTCTTTCAAAATGTACCTCAGACATGTGGACGAATTTTTGTAGACATTGTAACAGACTTATTTCAGAAGACTGGACAAGATACATGGGAGACTTACCTTTCAAAAATTATCCTTCTTTCATTATTTATCTTGGAGAATCCGATTCCGAATCGGATTCAAAAATTTTGTCTGAATCTGAGGAGGTATCTAATTCTTCAAGTGAAATGGTGGAAGCTGAATAAGACGGACTAAAAACGGATCTGAATTTGAACTATTACTGTGACAAAACTATAAGGGGAGGGTGGATAGGATCGGGACAATGGGAGACAATGGACACGCTAAATCGATCCTGCAAGGGAAGATATTTGGATAGAGAGGACCAGGAAAAAGAAGAATATCGTGACGGAAAAATCTCAGAACATTGTTTGATAGAAGCTCGCCACAACTCTTCCATATTGCTGCGAATTAAGTGGACATCGCCATAATAATCGATGATCGCCGACATTCATAAGGGATAGGCACGTCCAGAAGAAGAAGAAATAAAAAAATAAAAATAGAAGAAATGCCATTGGACCAAACCCGAAAAAAAAGTTACTGCAAAAACATATTTATGCTATTGAGCTTACTGTTATGGTTACTTTTAATTAATAAATTGAATAATTTTACTATTTGAATTTACTCAGATATTTTACACATTCTGGCCACTCGGCTTTCTGTTTCATAACCCTGAAATTTGAAAAATATTTTGTCATCAAATGTCATTATTATACGAGGGTCAACCTGTCAAATTTCCATGGATAATGCTACGCCAATAATAAGTGAAAAGCATATAGTTATCCGCCGACCAGAATTAAAAAACAGTCAATTTATCTTGCAGATAGTTATCAGCAAGTTTATCAGAGGATGAATAAACCGGGTCTTAGAGTCAAATTATGGACCGGTTGGTAATGTCTTTGGCTGGTTAAACTAAGAATTGAATTCAATTTTTAGTTTTACCAACAGGATAAATTTGCCAATGACATTACCGCTCGGTCCATAATTTGGCCCTAGGTTTGTCTTTTGACGGGCCAAACTGAAGGGTGTGGGGAAATTACTTCAAAATCGTCGTGTTTTTCATATGAGCGGCGAGCGAAGAGTTGGCACCAGGGTCCTTATTCTTGAAACAGAGGAGCAGTATTCCCAGGAGAACGAGTGTTCCGTCTTTCTCAATGATATACAAGTGATAATATATTAAGTAACAAAGACAGAAGAACACTCGTTCTCCTGGGAACGCTGCTCCCCTGTTCCAAAAATAAGGACTCTGTTGTGTGTGTGTTCAAATTTTTACTAAACATGGATCAAAATGCCTCAATAAAGAGTATCGTAGATTTTATTGATTTGTTTAGACAGTTTCCTTGTTTATGGCGCATAAAGTCTTTGGAGTATATTGCTATCTTAAAACCGTATAGTGTCCATACTAGTGTCAGCGCACTATTCTGCAATCTTATTTCACTTTGCAGTCCTCGAATTATATCTCACTTCCGACACCAATGTCACGGCTCTGGGGTGCGTGACAGAAATCTTGAGTCCGTTTATTCCAAAAATCAAGGTCCAATTACCACAACATTAATTTATTCCACGTTACTATACACTCTAACACTAATTTCTTCACTAATCAACTCAAACAACTAAACTTTTCACAACTCTCAACAATAATCACTATTTAAATCCTTTTTTTTATCCTGGGAATCGGTCATGCAATGAAAACATTAGTTTGTAATTTGTTATAATCACTATCTAAATCATATCACAGTCAATCTTAAACCTAAAACTACTAACTAATACCGGCCTTTATATATAATAATAATAATAATAATACATTACGAAATTTTACAGATCACTTACAGTAAAATTATGTTCAATTTTTTTTTACATATTTTATACTTAGAAAGTTTCAACTGCATCTAGATGACTTAACATCTGTATATGCAGGTTACATAGCTTATAGATGTCATAGCTGAGGTAATATTCAAAATAAAGCTGTGACAAAACTATGTGGCAACGGTAATTTGCTACAATTTTTAACTACTAACTTACTTTAATGCAGTAGGTTTACAATTTTACAATGTACTTAAATCTAGAGAAATATCAGGATTTTTTTTAGATTTGCGATTATAAATTTTAAACAGTCTTTTTTAAACTTAAATTTTTTGCTCAATAATTTAATACTCTTTGGAACCATATTAGAGAATTTAGGAGCCAAGTAGCTCACGGATCTCTTTATAAAACTGGTACTGCAGCCAGGAATAACAAGATGTCTATTTGTCCTGTTTCTCGTATTATGTGAGTGATTGAGTGATTTACAATGGAAACAATGTCAGGGTTTTCATAGACAAACAGGCACACCGCAAGTATGTAATAGGATCGAACATTGGGTATTTCTTCTGAGTATAAAAGAGATGTGGAATACAGTTTAGATTTGTTTTTCATAACTTTAAGGATATAGTTTTGAACAATGTTCAATTGTCTAAGTGAATTATCATACAAGCCACCCCAAACAAGCAATCCATATCTAAGCAATGACTCAACTGTCGCTTTATAGACAGTTATCAATAATTTTTTGGGCAAAATATTTCTCAAAATATAAAACTTATATATAAGTCTACGGATATTATTGCTTCAACATGTTTATCCCATTTAAGGTGGTTATCAATCAGGACACCCAAGTATTTAACACACTCCACCTCCCCAATGACTTTGTTACCCAACTGAAGGGTGGTAAACGACGGGCGATTGACAGAAGTGAGGGAAAACGCCATGTAATTGGTTTTTGTAATGTTCAGAGTCAGTTTAAAGGTTTCCAACCAGTTTGCAATATTAAGGAGACCATCTTCTGCTATTTCTTTCACGGTTTGCCAGGTGGACCCTTTGAAGAGAATTGCCGTATCATCGGCATAAGAAATTATATATCCGCAATCTATGCGTGTAGAATCCAGAATAAACACGATAATCTTTTTGCCCGTAAGCAGTATTTTCTAGATTCCAAGTTAGATTCTGCACATGCTGGCGAACGCACCCCAATATAAACTGCTGGACAAATGAAACGGAACAAGCAAATTTTTAGGTTAACTTCAAATTCCAATATTACGCGAACTGAAAAAAATATCAATGAGCGGTTTGCGAAAATTAACTTCTAAATTACGCAAATCACTCATTGATAGGTTCTTCAGTTCGCGTAATATTGGAATCCAAAGTTTAACTAAAAATTCGCTTGTTCCGCTTCATTTGTCTAGCAGTTTATTTTTGAATACTTCCTTGACTTTATCTATCAGTGGTCTTTGGTGAAACCTATGAGGTTAAACTAATTGACGATAGTTTTATTCCAGAATATGTGGACAAAGGGAGGCCAAGAAGTAAATGATTTTCTCCTAGGTAAAACACTGAGTTGAATTACTGTTCTGCAAAATTTTCCGCAACTACCTAAATCTAGATGAACATTGCGTGGGTGATTATTGTTGATGCATAAAAACTTTGTTGGTGTTGGACATTGATTAGCGTATTTTTCTGCAGTCTGTGATTTTAATAATACCTACCTAATTTGTTGTTGGACCTATTCGTCCCATATAGGTAACTTAGACAACAATATCTCATAGTACTTTACCTTAAAACACAGTTGTGTTTTTAGACAAAACAGAATGTTTCACTCCTCTGCATAAAGGTCTCGTCTAGAGTTCTAGTTTGAAGTTGGGTTTCTGGGGCCTTTGACAATTTACTTGCTTGGTTTAAAACTTTACAATCTGATAAGTTTGTTTATAGGCTTTGTTCAGTTGTTCAAGTTTTGTTAGGAGAAACGATAAACTATATCATAAACTTTTTTATACTCATGTAAGAATTTATTCCTGTCTGAAAGTAATTTGGAAGTGCAGAATTTAATCAGGCTGAGATTGCACTCGATAGGTACCTAAATTAAATTTGAAATGTGTTTAATTTCAAGTTGAACTTGCGATTTGATACCCATAATTTGATTTATATTACGTTCCTTCATAGAAAGGTACCTATACTCTATTTTAAAATTATTAGAAGAGTTTTTTTTTTAGGTGCCCATATCATTATGGCAGTACGAAACGCCGAAAAAGGAAAACGCGCATTGGAAAAAATTAAAGAAAATTATAAAAAATCCCAAGTTACAGTCAAACTATTGGACATATCCGAAATGGATAGTATCAGGAACTTTGTAGATCAAATCGAAGTTGAATATGAAAAAATCGATGTATTGATCAATAACGCTGCAGTTATTCATCAGCCGTATACAAAGACTATAGATGGCAACGAATTAACAATTGCTACCAACTATTTAGGTGAGATTGTGTTACTATTGTATCCATTTGATAAAAATTCGATTATTCTAGGTCCATTTTTTCTAACACACCTTCTTCTTCCGATGCTAAATAAATCCGAACATGGAAGAATCATTAACGTGTCTGCCATGGCTCATTTCAACGGGAAACTAAAAGTGGAAGCATTGAATATGAACAAAGATAATTACAATGAAGCTGACGCTTATTCTCAAAGCAAATTAGCCCTGACAATCTTTACGAAATATCTGGCAACTCTACTTAATAAAAGTAAATACCGTTATTCAATTTAATGCAATGTTATTACATTTGTATAGGTACTTATGAACCTATACCAAAAAAAAATATCTTACAAAAAAGAGTACCTAAGTGTCCTCTTTTAGATACAACAATAACATGCAACGCTGTAAGTCCCGGTTTGGTGAGAGGCACAGCACATCTCCAGAATCTTCCACTTCTAAAATCTGCCTGGACACGATTTTCAACATGGCCCTGGGTGTGGTTGTGCTTGAAAACACCAAAACAAGGTTGTCAAACTATTTTGCATGTTGCCTTGAATTCGAATTTGAAAAAAACTTCTGGTTTTTACTTTAGGTGAGTTGTTTTTACTTATAAATAAGAGCTGTAAGATAACGCCTTCACTACCATGAATAGTGTACCGACTTATTCCATCGGCATATTGTTTTAATTATTCATAATGAATCTGCTATTTTATGCCCAATGTCCAATGTTTTTTAAAATTTGTATCTGAAGATTCCTATAACGAATTGAAGAGAACTTGCTATACTTGTTCTGTCTCTTGTTCGTAAATTTGAATGAATTTAGTTGTTCGTTCGTGCTCAGTGAATATGAATATAATTTGTCAGCAACATCAAATGTTTACAATACGATATCTAGTCTTGCATTATTTTATTATTATTTTTTATCTAGCGACTGTGATTTCAAAGAACCAGCGGAACTGTTGAAGGACATTCATGTCGCCAAGGCCCTCTACAAAACTTCTTGTGGACTCGTCAAAATCGATGGGGATGATATCATAAACAAATTAGGAAACGAGACCTTTTTCCTGGCAGATGAAAGAGTTGAAGGTCTAGATGAAAATCTCAAAGGCCTGGATAAACAAGTTGAAGGCCCAGGTGAAAAATCCGAGTACCTAAATGAAAAAGATGAATACCCAAATGATTTCTGAATGTAATAAAACTAAATATAATAAATAAAATATATTTTAAAAAATTAATTAATAACCCTGCCTATACACTGCATTTCTACGTTGTTAATCTTGTCCATTTTTCACTTACTCTCCATAACCATTTGGCTAAGTTTACATCAATAGCTTCACCAGTGAGTTCTTTTGGACTATAGTTGCTGAAATCATAAAACAATTTATTAAATCTCTATCCAACACAAATTAATTTTTTCACAGCATAACTTTTGAATGCGCATAGCGCCTTTCATTTAGAATGTCCTCCCAGGGGGTTGCGATATAAAGTGATAAAATGCATCACATAAGTTTACTAGTAAATGTGATAAGTATATTAACTATAGTTTCTGAAAATATACAGTAGAAAAACCAATCCAGAATTTAACTTTTTACAAGTGTCATTTAAAATATACAGGGTGTATATTTTAAGTGATACCACTATTGCTATATCCGAAACGGTAAGAGTTACAAGGTTGGTTAAATAAGAAAAAAAATGCCTTTTTTGATGATCAAACAAGACTTGCTTACACTGTTGCCAAATTTCTTTCAGTTTATGAAATTGCAACGCTCTTTTGTCGAAACAAAAGAATGTTCATAATTTGTGCTTGACTATTGCTCAGTGGTACTTTAGCCTGAGGTGGTCCTTGGTGTTGGTACAGTAGACAGAGGGCGCCACTAGTTTGTATAAATAATTTTGATTACCAAGGAATAGCCAAACTAGGCACTATTCCATTAATTAGTTATTGTTTAAAAAGATAAATTCAAAAAAATCTGAAAAGGTAAAATAAATCCAAAATCCAATAGCTATCTGACATTCAACCCATTCAATAAAAACATAAGCTTTGGAATTCTAAACACAATTATTTATTTAAGTTAATTGTCATTAAAAAAGTTTGTAACAAGATGACGAACTTTGTTCTATGGTTATGCCATTAAAAATTTGTGACAAGATGGCGAACTTTTTTTTTTATTTAAAGAAAATTATTGTCTAGTATCCAAGTCTATTTTTTTTTAAGAAATCATTAAGCAGCTTTCTAAAAGCAAAACCCAATATAAGTATTAACAGTAAGTATAATAAGATTGAAATTTAAAAACAATCAATTGATACCCATGATAAAATTTACCTAAGTACAAATGATGGAGTCACAATATCATTAACCTTTAATTTTTGACCCAAAGTCAATCAAATCAATAGAAAACAATTTATTCAATGCAGAAAGGTAATAAATAATCCTTAGGCAGTTATAAATATCAAAAACCTGCTACATGAAATCAAGGCTTCACGGTTTCCGGAAGAGCTCTTACCATCTTACCTTTAAAGTTCAAATAGGTAACCATAAAACTTAAATTTGACTACCTAAAGATTTTACATTAGTTCACCTTGTAGAACTACCACATTATTGATTTGAAATCAGAAGTTAAATCAACTTTTTAAAGATCAATGAACCCACTTATATTATATCGATCAGTACTCGATATAGAGGAAACAAAATTTATAATAATTGTAATAATGCACACTTATTGAAAATAAACAATTATTGAGAAAACAATAATAAAAGTAAAATCTAATTATGATAATGATTAATTAATTGAATGGATAATTATATTTAATTTGTAGTTAGCTATTATAGCTAAATACTACAAAACGGTAAATGAGTCGGTAATTGATTTTATAGTTATTAATTAGCTAATTAAGCTAATCGATAGTAAGCGATAAGGAATAGATAATAATAATTAACAGTAATTAATATTACAAAGATAATAATTAGCTAATAAAGCTAATCGATAGGGAGCGGTAGAAAAGAGATTATATCAAGAAACTGTAATTAATAAGGCACATAAGCGGGACCCCTAGGTAAGTAATTATACAAGCCTGGACGAAATCCGTGGAAACTTTCATGAGTTTGAGATCCAGAAGCACCAAACTGACGGAAGGCAATCATCCAATGGTCGGGGATCAATCTCTTACAAGACACAGCTTTCCTTGTAGAGGGGGCCCAGACTTACTTTGGAAATGCAGTACCGCATGGTCTCAAATTCGTCAAATTTTCACCCAGAAGTGTAGGCGTGGATTTTACATACTCTCCCAAATTGCCTGAACGGAATGAAGAAATATAGGGACTCATTTATCAAAGGGAAAAAGGGTTTACATACCTCAACGGCCGATAATAACCTCACTTTCAGACATTTACACAAAAATCAACAATCTATTGATTTTTCAGGAAACGTTCCAGCTGGCACAACTACTCACTCTTCTGGCTAGTTAAATTTACATAATTTTGGGCTCGATGGCCAAGAATAAAGACAAAATTTTTTGGATTTTTTGTTTTTTAAATTAAGAAAATGGACGACCTTTTCGGTCCTACGACAAAATAGCAAAGAACAAGTCGAAAGTACCCAGGCTGAGTTCGTTTTTGTCATCTTTTTCGTCGATTTCCTCCGAAATTTTGACAGGCACGTGATTTGTAATTTGAAATTGTCTTATCCAGTCACGTGCCTGTTGAAATTTCGGAGCAAATCGGCGAAAAAGATGACAAAAACGAACTCGGCCCCAGATGGTTCTGTCTTTCTTCCTCTGTCAAGCCTGTCAAAAAGTCGAAATTATAAAAAATGACAGCGCTACCGGTTTTCTTAAAAATAACTTTAGTTAGGTTTCTAGTTGAGGTAGAGTGAATAAAAGTAATGGAGTCACCCCTAATATGGTAAAAAGCAGTACCCGAACAGCTGGAGTGCGAATGGAGTCACTCGAAATGTACGGAGTGAGCAAATCGAAACCACCTTTTGATAATATAATTTTCGGTATTAGGTCAGGAAACTAGTCAGAGGAATCATAGATGTCGCCAGGTGTACGAGATAGTATTTTAAATTTAGAGCAGGTATAAGGAGTAGGAACGCGCTTGCTCTAAGATTTTAAAGGAGTCCAAAATATAAAAAATTAATTGACCTTTTGTTTGGAGGCCATATTGCGGTGCGCGAACATAGTTGCCAAAAGTAGACAAAAAAAATCCCTAGCGTAATGTCAACATTAAAAACAAAAGTTACTGCGTTACTGGATGAATTCCATTTAAAATTTAAATTTGCCGCCTATTACGAATGTCTTCGAAAAGAAAAACCATCAATTTTGACTTGTATCGGACAGAATAGAAATAATAAAATATCTACCTATTCACTTTACCAAATTTCGGTTTCCTTTCTCAACCTTAGTACTCATAACCGCGAAATTCGCTCTTTTTGACATTACTTCGACAATTTGACGTTTTGTGCGTGGATAAAACGTCAAATTGTCGAAGCAATGTCAAAAAAGAGCGAATTTCGCGGTTATGAGTACTAGGCATTATTGTTTATAGAATCAGAGAGAGAAAGTAAACAAACAAAAAGGATAGCGAGGATCAATCATTTATGGCGATTTGCATTTGTCAGTCAGTGCGCACTGCGTGTATCCGCATCTTTTTCTCAAAGCATATAACATGTAAGGATAAGGATACATTTTTTTGCACCGGTTTGACAAATGGAAATCGCTATTAGTTACTTTTGTTTTCAATGTTGACAGCCCGCTAGTAATTTTTGTTTTCTTCTTTTGGCAACTATGTTCGCGCACCGCAATATGGCGTCCAAACAAAAGGTCAATTGACCTTTTGTTTGGACGCCATATTGCGGTGCGCGAACATAGTTGCCAACAGTAGAAAAAAAAATTACTAGCGTTCTGTCAACTTTAAAATCCAAAGTTAGTGAATAAATTACATTTAAAATTTAAATTTGCCGCCTATTACGAATGTTTTTGGAAAGAAAAGCCATCAATTTTAGCTTGTATTGGGCAGAATAGAAATAATAAAATATCTAGTTGACAGCCCGCTAGTAATTTTTGGTTTTCTTGTTTTGGCAACTATGTTCGCGCACCGCAATATGGCGTCGAAACAAAAGGTCAATTGAGAACAATTAAATATGTTCTTGTGACATTTCAAATGTTACAAAATACAGGGTGATTTCTAAGAAACGCCTGAAACTATTTCATTAATTATTCCGAAAACTATTGATATTCGAGACACAATTTAAATCTGGAAGTTTTATAATTTTTTTCGCTTTACAACATGGCATCTTCAAATTTCAAATCCGACGTTTCGTGATCGAGCTACTATCATCAATTTCATTTTTTCAAATATAGACCTGGATTTTTTATGTCATTTTTAGAAAGGGAATGAAGGACGCTACCACTCAAAAAAACTCAACAAAGAAAGATCTGGGCCGGTATTCTCGTTCCCGAAAACGCTCACCGCTTTTGAGTCACTCGGCACTTCATATGTGAATTTACATTAAAAGTGCCGAGCGACTAAAAAGCGGTGAGCGTTTTCGAGAACGAGTATACCGGCTCTGCTCTGCTCTTGAGAAAGAACTTTTTGACCGATAGATTTGTATACAGATGAAACAGCCTTCAGGAATCTACTGTAAATGCATCAACTGTCAACGCCTTCAAGAACGCGCTGGACAAAGATATTGACAACTTAAGAAATCAACTTATCCACTACATGTAATCTTAATCCCCAACGCCTAAATATCGCCACCGTGTATAAAGATAATCCAACTGAACTATTGCTCATGCCCCGGTAACTTTTGCTTCTTATCTTTGAGATCGGGTAACCAACCCCGATGGAAAGGATTTGGGTCAAAGGCTAACACAAGAGGAAGAAACAACCACATTTACTAAGCCAGCAACCTGGGAAATGTGAGAATATAGGTAATATGCTTACAAAAATAATAAACATGCCTCGGAAAAAGCCCTTGGTGATGGGACTACACCAATGGAAAGGACTGATCAGTCCCTAGCAAATGGAAATGGAGCAAGTAGCGCTCCTTTGCGAAATGGTACTACAAGGACTAGCACTAACACAGTGGGTTGAAGAACAGGACAAATAAGAAAAAGGGAAGATACTGGAACCAGGGAAGACCAATTATTTATAAGATCGGAAACAATTGGTGACAGGAATTGCCTCTTTAGAGCTGTCAGCCTGTACCTGGATGGCTCTCAGAACACCCACGCCCAACAAGGTTCAAGAATTCACTTTATCTTAGAAACAAGAGTCAATACTGTACTTACATGAGTAAAGAAACGACTTATGGAACAAGTCTAGAAATACTAGCTTTATCAGAAATATACAAACTAACATTCTGTATATACTCATCAGAAAACAGGCCTAGCAATGTAGAGTTCTGATCAAGTAGTCAGCCTACCAGGATCTCCAAAAGAAATTATTAAAAGAGTGTCTATCTTTTTATTGCTAGGAGATCCGGAGAATGGACATTTTGAACCCTTAAATCTGGCAGAGGCCCCTACTATTAGCCATCCGATACTTGGAAACCCAAAGAACGCAGTCCCAGCAATAATATCCCCAGAAACAACCAGCGAACCGACGGATATTACCCAAACCCAGAAGACACAGTCTGAAAATGGCCTATCCGATGGAGATCAGTCGAAACATAAAACATAACACTAATAAAAGACAAAAATGGACGACTGAACAATATCTGGAAGTTATGCCGTGCTATTATGAACAAAATAAAACTGACGGTGGAATCACTAAAGGAACATAGACAATATGGAGAGAAAGAAACCTAGATATATTTCCTAATTTGAACCATTGAAATTAGCAAACCAAAGGAGATTTATACTCAGAGAAAGCAAGGTACCTGAAACACAATTAAAACTATTACGAGAAAGTATAGGCAGCGAAGCTAATGATAATGGAAGAGGAGAATGATGAAATTATTGAATCTGCACAATCAGAAGGTGGAATTAGAAATGTGATCTCAAACAAGGAAAAGAACATAGGAGATAGCCATAACGAGGGAAGCATTTTTAATGAATTAAAACACATGGAAGAGATCATAAAAACAAAGCTGCTTGACACCCGAAAGAAAGCACATAATTTGGAGAAAAGGGCGAGGCTAAAAAAAAGGACAACTCTTAAGAGAACTTCATTGGCAGATAAAGCATTAGGAATTATAATAAAAGAACGAAGGGAATGGACATTATCAGAACTTAATGAAGTAATTTATACAGCAGCATCTGTGGTAGCTAGTGAAAGTGAAGGAAAAACTACATACAGATCGAATCTGTGTGAACCGAGGTGGAAAATAAGAATACGAGAATGCATTGAGTCTTTTCGCAGTGAATTTGCTATTTTATATGAATTTAAAAAAGGTGAACCTACTCGAAAGGTGCTTTCTAAAGTTGATGGAATTTGCAAAAAGTATTAAACTGACGAAACAATCAAAGAACTGAATTGAAAGTAAAAATGAAATTACTTGCCAATAGTCAACGGTTACGCAGATATTCAAAAAGGGCTGATCATTACTACCAAAATAAAACTTTCAATGAAAACCCGAAAACTTATTACCAGTAGAATTAAGGAAAACATCAAATTTGAAAAAATTTATCAAAAACTGTAGATATCTTATACTTAACAGAAATGAGGAATTTGTTAAACTTCTGAAATGAAGTTATTAGAGAGAAATTAATAAATAAGGATAAATTCAATTGTTTTTAAAAAAATGCTTAGCTGCCTTACACTGCAAATATTTATGTAATATTAGGTTAAGATTAATAGATTCAGAAAAAATACAATATATTGATTTTCAAACAAATTGAAAATATTTAGGTAACACATACAGGGGATCAAATCGCCTAGGTGTTAAAATAGCAAATTAAGACTACACATAGCAATAAGTATACTTTGTTAAACAATGTAAATTAGAAAAAATTCTGTAATATATTGATTGATTGATTAATAATATTGATTGATTGATTGTTACTACAGAGCAACTAAACTGGAAACCGTTCAAACAGGATACAGACTTGAACTCCACGAACTTTTGCTCCAAACATACCAAGAACTCTCTAAAACAGTAACAGAACAACGACTCATAGACCAAAAAAGAGTAATTTTGAAGAACAATAGACTCACCGGCAAAGAACTAGAACAGATAAGATTAAAAGTTGCACAAGAGCTGAACAATAATAGTGAGGAATCGGATACAAAACTTAAAAGGAAAGATATGGAAGAACATAAAAGACATACATACATCCCTACAATCTGTACCGGATAAAACAATAGAGCTGAACGTAGAGCAAGAAATCACACAACCTTGCATTACTCATGCAAGAAATAATAGACGAACAGCAGTTAGCGGAAGAAATGGAAACGAATCTGTCTTACTGGCAAGGAACTAACCCAAATTTAAGAAATCCCATCCCAAAACTAATATTTAAATCAAATATCTCAAAAATAATCAGCACAACAGACAATCTAATCTATAGGTACCTAACACCCAAGAGCACATTAGAAGACATTCACACAATTATATATGCAGCAGCAGTCACAATAATTAAACGCAACCGCCAAAAAATCACACAGCAAATAGGAAAAATAAAAACAGAACATAAATCGAAGTGGCAAATCAGAATAAAGAGTAGAATAATGAACATAACAAAGGGCATAGGATATATGACGCAACATCTGAACAGCAACATATCTAAAAACATAAAAATATCAATCACAAAAATGCTGAAAAACAATAATACAAAGTCTGAGCTCGAGATCCTTGACAATATGAAACAAAAGCTTGCCGTCTACGCCGGTAGATTACATAGATATAATGAAAGATATATTAAATAGATATAATTTGGCCTTTAACCGAACGACAAGAAATTTTATAAAACTCTGTTATCACAAGAAAGCCTCCCTACAGCTGAAATACCCTCTAAACAGGAACTTACAGAATTCTGGTCAAATATCTGGTCAAAACTAGTACAACATGATAACAGCAAAAATTGGGTTAGAATAGAAACGGAAAGACACGATAAACGGATCATCACATTACACAAGAAGAACCTTCAGAGACCATCAAACATACACAAAACTGGAAATGCCCAGAAGCTGATAAGATACAAAATTTCTAGTATAAACCAGTTCTCATCCATTTATGAAATAGGTACTTACAAGGGAAATAAACAATTGCATCAATGACCCATACATATTTCCTAAATTTGTGACACAAGGTAACATAACATTATGTTAAACCAAAAAATGCAGACTCAAAGAATCCAGCTAACTATAGACCAATAACATGCCTAGCCACATTATACAAAATAATAACAGCCACAATATGTAAAAAAATAGACACTCACCCAAAAAAACATAACATACTCTCAGAAGAACAGAAAGGTTGCAAAAAATCTAGTCAAGCCTGGAAAGAACAATTATTAATAATAGACACAATTATCCTAAAGCACACTGAAAAAGATCGCAGAAATCTCCACTCCAAGACTCATATATAGATTATAAAAAGGCTTTCAACTCTGTACCTCATAGTTGGGTATCGAAAATTCTAGAAATTTATAAAATCAATCCAAATATTAGACAATTCTTGAAAGAAATAATGAAATCTTCGAGAACAAAAATTACCATGAAATCAGAATACATCAAAAAAAGTACAACATAAAATAAATCACCTTTTGTATATGGACGATATTAAAATCTCCGCATCAACAAGAACAGAACTTAAAGAGCTGCTTGAAATTAGAGAAAACTTAACAAAAGACATACAAATGGAATTCGTTAAGAGTGAATGTAAAGCACTACACATCGAAAAAGGCAAATGGAATAACAATGAAAACAGAGAAATCATAAATAATGAAACACTGGAAAACATGACAGAAAACGAAACACACAAATACCTTGGGTTTGAACAGAACATCAGAATAAACCACACGGATATAAAAACGCAATTAAAGAAGCAATATAAACAAAGACTACTAGCCATACTAAAAACGTCACTCTACTCTCGCAACCTTTTCAAAGCTATCAACACATTTGCAGTACCAATACTAATCTACTCCTGTGGTATAATTAAATGGAGCCAGACAAACCTAGAAAACCTTCACATCCTAACTAGATCAGAGCTAACTAAATATAGAAAACACCATCCTAATTGCTGTAAAGAAAGAGTTGCAATAAACAGAAAAGAATGAGGCAGGTGTATCATAGACATCCAAGCATTACACACAAAACAAATACAGCTACTCCAAAAATACTTTCGTAATAAGGAAACAATTCTTCAGCAAGCGGTGTGCAAAGCAGACAAAAAATATATGCCACTCGATCAATTCACAACCAGTCATTTGTCAGATACCTTTATCCCAATTCAATATAGGTATAAAACAAAAAATAAATACATGGACATCAAAACAGCTACATGGAAAGCATAATGGAGCAAAACCATATAACCAAAGCCACTCTCATATAAATGGCTTCAAGATGGAAAGCTTTTTTCCTGAAACTCAAGAGATTTCACCTTGCAATTCAAGATCAAGTAATAGCCACACTGAACTACCAAAGTATATAATAAAAGACTTTAACATACAAACCGATACATGCAAAAATTGTCACCAATTTAAAGAAACCATAGACCATATTACCAGTGGGATGCAAAATCTTAGCAGGCACAGACTAACTCAAATCAAATCAAATCAATTCTCTTATTTTGCCATATGTAAAAATTACAATGAAGTAGATATAATTCATAGAATGTTGACAAAAAAGGATCCTCAACGAATATAAACTATATTGGGATGTAGAAATATGCACAGATAAAACAATAACATGCAATAGACCAGGACCAGACATCGTTTTCCAAAATAAAAAAGAACAGATCACTTATCTTATGGACATAGCCATGCCCAATGATGCCAACATTAAAAACAAATATAACGAAAAAATATCATAGTACACAGAATTGAGCATAGAAGTTCAGAGGCTCTGGAAACAAAAAAAAAGTAACTGTCATACCATTCGTTATATCCACTACAGGCATTACACCTGACATGTTCGATATGCACCTTAAGCAACTCGGGCTCAACTCACACATTCACACAAATATTCAAAAGTCTGTCATCCTCAAAACGGGTAATATAGTCAGATCGTTCCTTAATTCCAGTGGGAGTCTCTGAAATAGCTTGGCACAGTCCGCTTTCTCAAAGAAGGAACACCACATTTCGGAAAAGTGAGAAAATTTTTCAATAATAATAATAATAGTAATTATCTGCGGGTTCTTGATCACATCATGAATCATAAGAGAACATCCCCAATGATAAAAAAACACAGCAAAATTTCACTTACTCAAAATATTTTCCACTAACATCACCAACTTCAGGATCCAGCGCTAAGTAAACAACAGGTTGGCACCCTTGCCTAGGACTTTTAATGAACGGCCAGAATAGTGGTTTAAAAATAATACTTGCAAATGAACTTTTAGAAAAACCCATGTGACGTGCAAGTTCAGTATCAACAATGCCTGGATTTACTGAATTTACTGTTACACCAGTACCTGAAATATTAAAATATATCTAATTTTAAAATATCAGATTATAAAGAATCTCACCCTTCAATCTTTCAGCTAATTCATTAACAAACAACACATTAGCTAATTTGCTTTGCTCATAAGCCTTGCCAGGATTGTATTTTAAGGTACAATTCAAATCATCCTTATCAATGGATCCTCTAGAATGTGCTACACTTGAAAGAACTATTATTCTACTAGGTGCTGAGTTCTAAAAAAAGTAATAGGTAAATTTGCTATTACAAACCAAACCAATAACCTACCTACCTTTAAATTGTCCAAAAGTAAATTTGTTAATAAAAAATGACCTAAATGATTTACACCCAGTTGCATTTCAAATCCTTCTCGAGTTTTAGAGCCTTTGGGCGTCCTCATTACTCCAGCATTATTGATTAATATATTTAATTTTTTTTCTTCAGTATTGAAAATTTTCACAAACTTTCTTATTGATTCTAGTGAAGCCAGGTCACATGGTCTACAATAAACATATTTATTTTTAGAATCTAATACTATTTCTTCACGAGCCTAAAACAAAATAGAATCGTTAGATTTTCTGAAATCTAGAAACTAGGGAAATGTGTGAGTTTTTAATATCATATTAGTGGAATGGTGGGAATTACCTCTTCACAACGAGTCATATCTCTACAAGCCATGTAAACTTTTGCTCCTCTTCTTGCCAGTTCCCATGCAGTTTCTTTTCCTATGCCAGTATTTGCACCAGTTACAATTACAACTTTATCCTTGATATCTTGAATGCCTTTGTATCGTTCTCCTGCAAACGATTCCCTTGAAAAGAGAGAATAAGTTAGTTACCATGAAATGAGGTGAGAGGTGAGGTAAATCATAATTTTAAGTTTTTCGTAGAACACTTGATAATCTGAAGAAAAAAATCTATTGTAGGCTCAATTTCAGCTATCAAAATTGCATATTGCACGTTTTATTTTTTGCTATATGCTCAGCTAAATAGTAATACCTACCTCTAATCTATTTTCAGTTTCTATCCAGCTAACACTTTTGTTGGGAGAAAAAAATAAAAACATAATCAAAAACAAATTCCGCCCTTTCAGGATAAAAGCTAGGATAAAAGTTGTTGAATATGTTTTTTCCTTTTAATTTAAACTCAAAGCAACTTCAGAAATGAGTCAACCATAAAATTCACATTATTGAGACCAATATACTGCTATCTTTAATGACACCCAATTATCTCTAATTTTCCTAATCATAAAATCATTGCACTGCTGACTGGGATATACTAAAACAGGTTAGAGAAAGAACAAACTCTCCGCAGCTCTCAAAAAAAAAACTAATAGCAGAATCTCTTGTTGAGGTTGCATGCTGTTGCTTGGGCTTCAATGTAAACCCTCTTAAACTGAATTGATGAAAAACAGACATAAAGCAGAAATATCTTACCTTAATCCTGGTTACAGACTAGACTACTGGCAATGAAATTGTTACTGAGGAACCCCTTGCTACAAAGGAATACAGGTTGTTGGGAATGTTAGGCTGTTTAGAATCGACACTTTTATGACAGAATTTTTTTGTATAGAGATAGACCAAATTTGTGAATTCACACTTTTTTTTATGAAATTTCGTAGAAAAAGTGTGAATGCCAAAAAAAAGTAGGATGTGGCATGGCCCCTCTACGCTTTTGAAAAAATCTTCTGACAAATAAATTCATTTTTTGCTCGTTGAACTGTCAGGCCGAATCAATTGAAAAAGAAGAGTAAGACAAGATGTACAAGGAAAAAATAGAAGATCTTGAAAAGGAAATAGTATTTTATCTAGTGAGCTCCAACTTTTGAAGAAGAAGAGGTTGGAAGTAATATCTCAGGTGGAATCAATGCAGGAAGACAAGGCAAAATTGGAGGTGAGAATTGAAGAACTCATTTCTCTAAACAAAAATCTGATAACTTCTGTGAACACTTTGGAAATTGGGAATGAGGATTACATAAGGGAAGTGAAGAAGTTGAGACAATCAGTAAGTGACCTGCAAGCCAAAGCCACCAATTTGAGAGTGCTAGTAGCGGTCACTCTCAATTGGTAATCAGTGACCAAGGATCAGATAGTGAACTGATGAGAGTGGTTTTAAAATAAGGAGTAGGTTGCAATCTCTGGTAACAAGTTATTTTGTACAAACAATTATTAAACCAAGGGCACTGTATGACAATATTATAGAAGATATGGGTAAATTGACCAAGGATTTTACTTTAAGTGATTATGTTGTTATCTTGGGTGGCGCCAATGATTTTTATTTTGGTAGCAAACCACACTTTTTTAAAAATATCAATAAAATAGTTAAACGTTGCACTCACACCTTGACTCACACTAACGTGATTTTTACCTCAGTCCCTTTGTGTTTAAATAATTATAATAATAGCAATGTGAATATCAAGAAATTTAACAAAATATTGAGTGAATACGCTTTCGAACTGAATAAATATGCTGAATCTGAGATTTCATGGTGTAATATAAATAACTCAGTGGGAAACAAGTCTTCTCCAGATATTCTCTGCAAAAAGCTTGCTGAAAATGTATTGTCAGGGAGAGTAAGTGTTCAAAAAAACCTGAAATTTGTTAAGATTTTTAATGATATTGAAATTAAAAAAATAATTGGAAAGCCAGGTATTGCTGATTTTTTACTTCAAACTGCAATGCAGGGGAGGGGAGGGTAGCAGATAATCTAATAAGACAATTAATTTATCTTAATGCAAATAGTACATGGACACCTCGATGGACACATTTTGATGAGATTCATTCCTTTGTCGTGAGTAACAAACTTAAAATTGTGTGTATCTCGAAAACTCATTTGACGGAGGAAATTAATGACTCTGAGATGAATATTGATGGTTATGAGTGTATTCGAGTAGATAGTTCCAGTGGACATACGGATGGAGTGCAAATATATGTGAATGATGCTGTTTTATTATATGTGTATATCGTTCGCCAAATAGTAGTTCCGTGCAGTTCTTGGACTTTTTTGAGAAGTGGTGTAATGATTTTGTGTGTGACATAAGGGGGCCTATTATAGTTACCGGAGATTTTTATTTTGATTGGCTCAAAGATGACACAATTATTGTAGATTGAAGAATTTTATTCATGAGACTGGTCTAAGGCAGATAGTAGGTAATATAACGAGGCCTACTAATGAGGGGGGAACGATTATTGATCTTGTTTTTACTAATTTGCCTGACAAGGATATTGATTGGGAGGTTTTGCAGGTCCCAAGGATAAGTGATCATTATCTGTTCTGACTAGTAGACGTAGAAATATTGATTATCACAGAATCAAAGTTATTTTATCAAGGGTTGTTTGGGATTTTTAATCTTAAGATGTAAATGTAAAGTGTGAACGATTTCTGGATATTGTGGGTGATGTTGTTAATCACTAGCTCCTAGAAAGCGAATAAAGATTTGTACTAGATTTAAGCTGTGGTGGAATGAAATGGTAGAAGATGCAGTAAGAAGAGAGATGAAACTTATAAGACATATAAAGAGCGAGATACTGATTTAAGCCATGTTATGTATAAAGAAAAGAGAAATAAAATAGTTAGAGTTATAAGAGAAGAAAAAATAAAGTATTTTGAAAGTGGGGTAGATAACTGTAAAAATAATCATATTGCAATGTGGAATGCCCTTAAGCTTAAGACTATAATACCTAATTATAAGAGTAATAAAATGAATGAAGTTGACTTTGGAGAGGAATTAGTAAGGGATTAAAGTAGATTGCCTGGGCTATTAAATGCGTTTCAAGTGAGTAGTATCGGTGAAATTGTAGATAGCATAGACTGTGTTGCTGATTTGAATGTTAGCATTTTTGAAGATATTGAAGGCTTAAATGCGACACTTTCAGATTTTTCTCTAATTGACAGAGACAGTTTAGGAGAAATGTTTTTTTTTTCAAGAACAAAAATAGTCCTGATGATCTATATATAAATGTTGTAAAAAATATATATGATAGTGTTGAGGTTCTCCTGATACATATAATTAATTGTTCTTTAGAGCAGGGTGTATTTCCAAATAAACTAAAGATTTCTACTATAATTCCAATCCAGAAAAAGAGTAATTCAAACAAAGCTGCAGATTTGCGTCCAATTAATATGCTTAGTGCAATTGAAAAATTTTTGGAACGAATTGTATATGAGCAACTAATTTATTTTGTTGAAAGTAATAATTTGCTTGCGCAAATCCAATCAGAGTTTCGTAAAGGGCACAACTGTGAAACTACAATTCAATGTGTGTTGGTTGGATGAGTGGATTAGATATATTGATAGCGGTTATGGTGTAGTTGCAGTTTTTCTTGACCTGCAAAGAGCGCTTGAAACAGTTGATAGGGACAGTTTTATGTTTAAGCTCAGGAGTATGGGATTGCGGGGTACGGCATTGAAATGGTTTGGCAGCTATCTTGAAAATCGAAAACAAAAAGTTAGCATGACTGGATATGTTTCTGATGGAATAGTGAATGCTTATGGAGTACCCCAGGGTCCCCAGGGGAGCATACTGGGCCCTTTGCTATTTATAATTTACATCAAACGACCTAAAAGATTTGGTTACTAATATAGGTAGGGCTCTTGATAGTGTGTATGGGTATTGTTGTAAAAATTTATTAAAGATTAATGTAAATAAAACTTAGTTTATGTTATTTGGACCAGAGAAAATAAAGAATGAATTTGCATTGAATAAATTAGGGAAAGCAGAGCATTTTTAAAATCAGGAAGGGGCAAACACCACCCTACCTTGCTAGTAAGATAGTTTACAGTCATGAGATACATGCATACAATACTAGGCAAAGGAATGATTTTTTCGTGACCGCAAGGAATAAATCGTTTGCATGGACAGAACAGCATTTTTCACAATGGTTTAAACTGTTTTAATGGGTTGCATCAGGAGGTTAAGGAGTCAGCGACTTTGCCAATATTTAAAAGACAGTTAAGGGGTTATTTGCTGTGAACGGGAGGGTCATTGGTGCCGCACGATGTGTTGTATTGTATTTTGTATGTATTTTGATTTTGTTTTTGCTGTATTTTATTTTTTTTATATACTTTTTTTTGTATACTTATTTTAAATTATCTTTTTTAATGTTTAATGTTTTATAGATTATTTGACTGCATACGCACTTGTGTTGTAAAATTCTCAGTAATTTTTGAACGTTATTGAACTTTCGGGAATGTTTGAGAATTTTCGAGAATTTATGAGAACTTTGGAGAATGTTGCAAAAGCACCTATAAATTCAACTTTTTAATGTAGGGCTTGTAAAAATGTCTATTAATAATAAAGTTTCACTAAATTTCCCTATTTTTCTTTTCTCTGGTAGGGGTAGGTGAATTTTCCATGAATGTAAATATAACCCTTGTCTATGTATTATTAATTATTTATTCTGAAGAAAATGATAATATTTATAAAACTAATACAAGTCTTGTTTCTTGTGAGTTGGAATAATAAAAAACAAACTAAAGTATTCTCCTTCTTCTTCTGAAGATGACTCAAATCGAATGATTGGGTAAAAATTAGAAATGCATTTTCAGCGAACTTTCGCTTAGAGAGGAGCGAACATTACCGTAAATTACCGTAATAGTGCGAACGTTCGCTTGGTAAAGTTCGCTTGTTACAACACTATACGCACTAGTGACTTATCGAGTGACTTATTATTGTATCGTATTTTTTTTTTTAACTAGTAAATATGTAAAACATCATGACTTTCTCCTTTGGAAATTTACACCAAAAAACCCTTGGACCAACCAAACATAAGTTATTGTACCTATTCAGACAGTGGGTGGTATGAACAAAAACAAAGTACGTGCTACTGCTACAAGTTATAGGTCTCGCACCTCTTCCATTGTGGCGGAGGGGGCTGCCAGACGAGCAATAACCAGAATCACGAGGGAAGGAGTTGCCGAGGGAGGTTGGCTAGGATGGAGAGAACTAGCATCTCTGACCAAGCTTATTCCGCTCCTCGAGCTCCCCAGGGACGATATGACTAAAACACAGCACCTGGACAAACACTTCACAGTAGTGATAAGAAGCAGAGAAGAATGGAAAGAAAATACCACATCCATTCTTGAAACTCAGCAGAGAGCCATAAAATGGTACACCCATGGGTCAAGAACCGAACAAGGGACCGGCGCTGGAGTATTTGGGCCTACAACCAAGTTCACCATTAAAGTGCTGAGCTCACTAATATTCAGCTCCAGAATGGTTTGGGATTGCCAGGACAAGTTAAACAGACTGGGCAAGGATAACAGACTATCCCTCCAGTGGATACCGGGACACGAAGGGATTGAAGGTAACAAGAAGGCGGACCAACTAGCGAAATTAGGGGCATTGACCCCCATTTCAGGACCGGAACCCTTCTGTGGCATAGGGAAACACACCTATGAAGAAGCCTTCAGAAAGGAAGAGCGGACCAAATGGAACAATCTCTGGGAGCAACTTCCAGGGTTGGGGCAATTGAAGATGTTTCTTGGGCACCCTGACCAAGGGAGACCGAAAGGCCTCACATCACTAAGCAAAAACAATCTCCGCATTCTCACCGGATTCCTCACAGGCCACTGCCGGTTAAGAGGGCACCTTGAGAGAATTAAAATTGAAAACGAGAACAGCTGCCGGTTCTGTGAGGAAGGGGAGGAAACTCCTGAACACCTTCTAACGGAATGCGAGGCGATCGTGAATACACGAACCTTCTAATGGCCTGCTTCGGATGCTACATCGTGGGACGGGAAGAAATTCCATCCATAGAACCATCCAGAGTACTTGCTTTCATAGAAGCATTAAGGCTGGATGAGGTGCTTTAAGTGAGAGTCCATCAACTGGAGCGCCAAGAAGGGGACACAATAGATCTATGCAGGTCGCAGTGTAACAAAACCCCCAATCAATTCATTCATTCATTTATTTATACTGCTACAAGTACTAGTATATTCTTTGCAGTATTTACTTCACAAAGAAGCATTTACGAATTTCTAGTAGTTTCGAAATGTAGTATATAATTCGTTTTAAAGTAAATAGGTACTAGTGATGTAAAATGCTCGAGCAAGTATTTTAGGAGAACGTTCTCCGAGCAGGATCGAGAATTAACGAGAATAAACGAGCAAAAACGAGCAGGACCCGAGAATTTATTCTTTTTATCAGAAGCTGAATAAAACAAAACATTTTTCTAAATAAATTCTGATTTCTCTCAAATTTCCCGAAATTCCCAAATTTTTCGTGAAAGTTCTGAATATTCTGAAAATTCTTGATAAATGTGCTGAAAGTTCTCAAACTTCTTAGGAAAATATACCTACTTAATACATAATTAATCACATAATCTGTGAATTGTGTCTTGTGTCATGTTTGATAACAATAATTATTCTAATTTGGGGTTTTCTGTGAAACTTCAACATACAATTATCATTAGGATTCTTTTTTTTTTGATAATAAAATAAAATAGTGATTTTAGTTTGAGTATTTTCCAGTACAACACTAGGTTTGCCACCAAAAAAAAAATAACTATTGCTGGTTCGCCGGCTCTATATTCGATATATCTTCGCCTTCAACAGCTTCCATAAATATATCTCTACTCTATGGCGTCATGTGATTTTATTGGTTAGGATCATGCTTGAGAAGGTGCTGAATATTCTCTATCGTGCTCATTGTGCTCCGAAGGTAATATTCAGCACGAACCTTTTTTTCGTGCGCGAACGTTCGCGAATGTTCTCGAAAGCACAATCAGAACGTTCCCTTGTTCACATCACTAATAGGTACTACATAGAATATACTAATACTTGTAGTAGTAGCAGGTACTTCGTTTTTATTCATACCACCTATTAGTTTTAAGTTTCAACTTGAGTGTCAACTGTTAAATTGTATCAAATACTTAAGTATCTTGATAAGAAAAAAAAAATCTAATAAGAATATATCCCCAAGCAAAGGAGCCACTGGGCACTGTATCATAACAAGACCAATCATATTAGGTATATATTGTTGTATTGTAGTGTAGAAGACAAGATAACAACCTCAATAACAAACATCAAAGTAGGAAGTAGGTATATATTATCCGTTCACAATCCAATGTCCACTGGTACCGGTGAAATTTATCACCTTTCAATGCTATTTGATAGGGCGGGGTGATAAATGTGCACCTGTGGACATCGGATTGTGAACAGGATTTATATCCTGTTCACAATCCGATGTCCACAGGTGCAGGTAAATTTATCACCTTTCCCTATTAAATAGCATTGAAAGGTGATTTTACCTGTACCTACCTGTGGACATCGGATTGTGAACGGATAATAGGTACCCAGGTAGGTACTTGATTAGTGATAGACTCGGCGATAGATCCACGATTTGTTAATGCCAGGAAAATTGCAATATCATATTCTCACACAAGCACAATGAGACTCATTTAGGTAAGTACTATAATTTCTTTCAGCCCAGTAGTGCAGAAACCTAGGCAGAAACTTAACAAAAACTGGCTATTTTTTTACTACCTACTTAAAAAGTGTGGCGAATCCATAAGTTGCACAAATTGCAGATCCAATATAAACCGATTTAGGAATTTTCTTTATGATATTCATATTTCCCAAACTTTTCTCACTTCTCTACAATCTCTACACAAAAAGCAAAAAGCAATTTAAATGTCAATAATACAATATTGGGTTAGGTTGTAATAATTATTTTAACTCTTCTTTTCTTTAAATTTACCACAGACAGCAGACGTGTTTTCCAGAGTTGACCGAGGTCTGTTCCCACAGGAGTCTCTGACAGTTTGCAAACTGTCAGTAAGCATCGCCCATACATGTTTTCAATGCTGTCGTTACAATATAAATCTGTAACTCAGCTGAGCGATTATTTCTGACAGGTTGCAAACTGTCAGAGACTCCTGTGGGAACAGACCTCCAGAGGATCCACCGGTTTTGACCAGTCTGAACCGGGTCGTTTCAAAATTAACCGGTTAAGAAAATCGAAGCGTTTAAAACGCTTTACCGGTCAATATAGAATCTATATTGGCCGGTGTCTTTCCCGTTTTATCACTGATCATCTACCGCTTCCACTATGTTTTTTAGAGCCGTTTTACACGGCAAAATTTCTCTCGACACCTTTAACAAGACACCCTGGGTCCTTTTCCCTCGCTTGACTGACCGCGGTATGTTTATGTACGTAAATACTGTAATCAACTGTCCAAAAACTAGCTTTAGTAAATTCAGAGAATTTTTTCAGCGCTGGCTCTAATGGCCGTTTGCACCGATCATTTTAAGGAAGCCTTAGCGATAAGTATTCCCTAAAGTGACATTTCTCCATGTAAAAATGTCATTTTAAGGGATACTTATCGCTAAGGCTTCCTTAATTAAAATGGTCGGTGCAAACGGCCATTAGACTAATATAGTAAACTTACGAAATATTTCGGCAATAATTTCGTGAAAAAACTTTACCGTGTAAAACGGCTCTAATAACATCCATATTAGAGAGTTATTGGAACTATTAAATACTGCCTCGCAGTATTAAGGATCTATACGTCATTTTATTAGTGCATCAGCACTATTTTTCCAAGAAAAAAACAGTTATTGGAACTGGAAGGAAGACTGTGACTGTAGTAGGTGCTAGAGTATTTTACCTTATTTTGTATTCATAATTTTGACAGATGATAGCTATGTTTATAAATTTCAGCCTCAAAAAGTGTTTATTTTTGTTTATGATTTTCTGCTGATACTATTTTTTCCTACAGCCGTGCGGAAAAAATTTTACCGCACTGATCTGTTAAAAAAAAAAGAAAAATTTTACATTTTTACGCCTGTAGGAAAAATATGGTACCTAACTCTTGCGGAAAATATTTTTCCTACGAGCGTGCGCAAAGTAGTACTTTTCCGCATGCATTTCCGGGCTCAAAGTTACACTTTTCCGCACTCAGTGCGGATACAGGCCTTATCCGCACTGAGTGCCGAAAAGTAATTATAATTGTCAAGCAACAATAAGTGCACCTGTCGACTTTGACACATGATGACAAATTTTTCCTCTATTTCTATATCAGCCAACATCTATACAAACACCAATTATAAATTAACTTTGACACATCAGATTTGTTCTCTATTTATATGCAAAAATCTACAAACTTTCTCATCAAATTTAAACGCTTTAAGATGAACAGCTCTGACGAGGATTTTCTGTTATTTTTTTTTGTTATGTAATTGTTTGATAAATGCATAGGTTCCCTTCAAGTTAATTAAAAATAATTAAACAAATTATCGGTTTTTTTTTCAAATTTTTGTTATTACCTACCTGATATGAAGCTCGTAGGAAAAATTTTGTTCCTAACACGTGCGCAAAGTGTCTTTTCCGCACGCAAACACGTATCCGAACTCCGCTCCGCGTCGTTCGTATAACTGTGTTTGCGTGCGGAAAAGTAACACTTTGCGCACTTGTTAGGAAAATAACTATTTCCGCACTCGGCTGCTTCACGTGCGGAAAACTTCATTTTCCGCACTTGTTAGGTAAATAGCTATTTCAATGTTACCCACAGTAAAATGGAAAATTATTGTAAAAAAAAAATTCTAAGTAAAATTACGTCATCGTCGAAAAGCAAAACGTCAAAGTCGTCCAAAATGTCAGAAATTTGAAATAAGGTAAGTTTACTGCCTCGCATTAACCCAGACAAGCAGTAACCTTATTAAGGGAATCCTTATTTTCGGACCCAAATGCGCATGCGTAGATGTCCTTATTGCACATCCAATAACTCTCTATTAACTAGGATACAAAAATAACGAAAAATCCCAAAAGTTGCACTTATTGCAGCTTGTTAGTGATGAGAAATTTTTGGTCACAACAGGTAGGAATTTTGTCATATGGTTCCGCAAATGGGGATAACAACATGGGATTCATAGCACTCAAAAATACACCACAACCGCAAAAACACAAATCGAAAAACACGACTCTATCCGAAGGTGGGTTCGGCTTGCTCACTCCGAGTGACTCCATTCGCACTCCCACTTGTAAAGTCGGGGATGACTGTTGGACTGTTGTTTTGAAACAAAACAAATCAGCAGTTTGATATTTTTGCTCCGACCGTTCCGGTCGTTCGTGTATTAATTTTTCACTCTCTTAGATCACGTGACAAAAATCTGTTTTTACTCCACTCCAACTCTCTGCTGAATAGCCGAACCCAGCTCGAGAAACCGGTAAATTCAACCAAAGCGTTTCTAAAATTTTCAAGACTCAACACCGAACATTTGTTTACCGGAATTATCAACAGCTACCGGTTGTTCACACCGGTAAATTATAACATGGTGAACTCTGAAAAATACCCGTATTATGGTATCACGACTCAAGGATATTACATACTACTACAGGATTGCTCATCGGCCTCGTTTTTTGTAACCGTGATCGTAAGAGCCGCATTCTTTCGCAATATTCGAATTATATGATTCTGAAATCCTCGCCCGTTTGTTCAATTGGAACATGTTTCAACTTTAAGTTCCGAAAGAATGCTGTCTGATGGTGTCACTGCCGGCTGGTGCTTTTGCTCTATTTTTGTTTTTCTCTGAGGGCTAGTTATTATTATATTTTGCAGTTTTTTCATTTGCTACATTTGTCGGAATCATGTCGGAATATTATAGCAAAAAGCGCAGAAAGTAGGTAGAATTAATTTGAAAGTTTAGGTTTTATTTTCGTGATCGGAAAAAACTAATCACAAAAACAAAATGTTCAATATGTTAAAAATTTCTCGGATAAAGATTCGCTAACTGTCAAATGTGAAAATGCGAAAGAACGTGATAACTGTTTTTACTGTGGTCGCATTTTCGAATTCATTCGAGTACATTTCGTACACGAAATTTGATTGACAGCAATGTAAATTAAATGGGAAGCATTCGAAATCTTATCAAATTTCGTATGCGAGAATATTCGAAAATACTACCCCAGATCCGGTCCGAAAGCATGCGGCTATGGTGTAGCGCCATTTCCGACGTCATTAACTAAGTAGTCAGCTGTATGCGCCAGCGGTCGTAGTTTAAAATTCACAGGCATCCCATCCATACGTGGTCTCTTTGCCTCCTACTTCATTTTCCCTGAACGAAACCTTAACGTGCTCAAACGAGTTATTCGTCACTTAAATTTCACCCGCTCATAGTACCGCTTAGGGCCGGTTTCTCGATGGCGAGTCATCTCCGGGTTGGTTTTAACTCCAGGGTAAGCGTGTCGAGTTACTATGTTCAACCTGGAGTTATGCTTAACCCGGAGGTGTCTTGCTATTGAGAAACCGGCCCTTAGGCAATGAAAATACACAGTACATTCTTTGACAGTACTACGGGATTGCTTATCGGCCTCGTTTTTGGAAATCGCGGTCAAAAGGTCTGTTTCTAAAGAAATCAGAAACCAGTCAAAGCGTTTTTGATTGATCCAAATCGCCAACAACCGGTTTCTTGACTATTTTTCAACCAATGAAATTCGCTCTGACTAATTGATGATTTCTGTGGGGAACATACCTATTATGGTGTAGCACCATTGTCGACGTCTTCAAGTAAGTCGTCAGCTGCTTGCGCCTCCGCGGTCGTAGTTTGAAATTTTAATTTATGATGAAAAATATGACTTAATTTTGATAAACATAATAGGCAAAGAGGAAGATGCAAACGAGATATAAGTTAGGATAAAACAGTAATAAGAGAAAAAGGTGTTGTTTCGAATAGAAAGGGAATATTTGAAGGCATATGAGGGAATTACGACTGAATTCACTTGGTAACGCTTCCGCAGTAGCAGCAATGGAAAATGTAAGGAAACGACTTCAGTGAAATTGATTTTCAAGGATAATACACACACTTCTCTACAGGATAACCTATATCCTCATAAGGCCTGTGTTCAAATCTCAAGCCCCCCACCATGCCAATGCACTAGTAATAACGTAGGCAGTGAATCGTTTCGCGCATTAACGTATGGTGTTTGCACCACGAGTTATGATTCCGTGGGCTTCTGCTTTTATGCATACTTAAACTTACTTTTTATGCATCCACTTTTCCGTCAATCCGATGATCCGGAAGTATTCCTATTGGTCCAATATTTTGGCGCCAACATATTGGACCAATTGGAATAGTTCCGGATCATAGGATTGACGGAAAAGCGGATGCATGAAGAGTAAGCTTAGTTTTACTACAATGATTAAAATTCTAAAACAACTCTTATAGATCTCGTTTGATCTAACCTAAAGATATTTTCGGGGATAATACCACGAGAGCTTCAAAATTACCGATAATTTTTCACGATTGCGTGTTTTCTATAATTTCACGAGTCCGTGTAGGACGAGTGAAATTTGCAGAGAAAACACGCATGAGTGAAAAATTATCTGGGGTCGTATTTTCGAATGTTTTCGTATACGAAATTTCATACGATTTCGAATGCTCTCCATTCAATTTACATTGCTGTCAGTCAGATTTCGTGTATGAATTGTACTCGAATGGTTTCGAAAATCGCACCCCTGGTCCATTTTAAAGCTCGAGTGGTATTTAGAGGATTATTCCACGTATGAGAATGCAAAAAATATGGAAATGAATATTTATTAAACGATTTGAACATCTTAACAATCAATAAAAATGAATGGTTGCTATAAGGAACCGTTTGTTTGTATCAAAAATTAGCATGACAACCATGCATACAATAACATGGGAGAATTATCGCTGTAATTCTCTCTAGTTAAACTAATGGAGAAAAGAA